CTAATTTGTAGAGTATAGGTTAAAATAAAATGAAAATGAGAGGTTTCATACACATATTCAGAGATTTCTTGACTTTGAAAACAGACAGAATTGATTATAGGCAGCAATTTGACTCCAGAACCTCCCTGTAAAGTCTATTTCCCTTAAAGGTACCATCACTACATTCATTGTGTAATTCAGAGTTAGTTTAAATAAATATTCCCTTAGGCCTCTTTTTAGATAACGTCACAATAAAAATAGTTTAAGAAATCAGCCAATAGGCCAGTTAAGGCTACCAGTGGTAAGTGGGCAGATAGCATTAAATACTATATGATTTCATTGAACCAAAACTGCCTTTCCATTTATATTTACAGCATCAGAATAACAATATCTAGAATTAATAGTAATTAGAATATTCATATACAAATGTTTACATGAGATCACTCATTGCTAGAATAAGTCTGAATTTCTCAGTTGAGAGTGATAGAAAACTAACACAAACCAGCTAAAGCAAAAAAGCGGGGACGGGGGCGTGGACTCAGTGATAAGAGTACAAAATTAGATGCTACTGTTATGATTCACTGAGATTTGAAGATTATTTGTTACTGCAGCATCACTTGTCCAAGCTGACTGATACAGAGTGTAAACTAAGATTCTGGCTTTCAAATTCTACTCTCCTGATACATATATTTTGGTTCATTTCTCACAAAAGCCTCTGACATCACCCAAGTGAATTTCTGTTCCTTAGAACCAATAGTACTTGATAAAACTGATTTAAAAATGATATTATTTAGAACCATTTTGTTCTTAAACATTTATCATGTAATAGCCTTCTATTCTCCTCCAGATTCCAAAGTTAAGTTTCAGGTTGAAAATCTCTAACCTGAAAATTAAAAACCTCAAATACTTCAAAATACAAAATTTTTTGAAAGTGGAAAATTCCACACCTGACCTTGTATTATGAGTCTCAGTCAAAACACCAGCAGCGCACTAAAAATATTGTATAAAATTCCCTTATTCACCCACGTGAATAAGGTATATATGAAACATAAATGAATTTCATGTTTAGATTTGGGTTCTATCTCTAAGATATCTTATTATGTATATGAGAATATTCCAAAGTTTAAAAAAAAAACCTTAAGCATTTTTGGTACTAAACATTTCAGATAAGGTATACTGAAACACAGATATGCATACATACTGAAAAGCCCATTAACTTATTTCAGGGAGGAAAGTACAATTTATTTACTGATGGGTATGTAAAATTTCTGCCTGTCCTTAATTCTTAGTATTTTAATAATAGATGACTGTGTAATTTTCTCTTATTTATGCAAAATGTGATTTGATATGATGTTCCAATTAATAGCATCTTTTCATATCATATACAGGAAAAAATTCAGCTACTTCAAACTGGATACAATATTTTTATTGGAGAATCTGAAAACAATGGAGTCATCAGTTATCATTTTAGCTTTGTTATGGAAAAACAAAATACCTTTGGGTACTATATCTTTGTGTAATATTCATTTTCCTTGAGTTTAATCAAATGAGTATTTTTCTCTGGACCCAGGACGATAAGACTAACCCTTTTAGGCCACCTTCAGAGCAGTTTTGGACTATAAACTTGTGCTCTGAAAGAAGCAAGCAAACCCCAATTAGGGATGAGATTTCTATGCAGTCCTTGTTGACCAGTGAAACACTGACTTCTGTTTTGCACTACAGTTCACAGTTGTACTAAACTGAAATTATAAATTATAAATATTTAAACTATTTTTTCCAAAATACTTTCACAAATACAGTTTTAACTCCTTTATATCCTTGTGGATGGGAGGTATGAGACTTGCTTAAAGTCTGGAGGAGTAAGTAGCAGTGTCACCTGTGGAATAAAGTCAGGATTTAGAAAGGTGAACTACTTGAAATTAAAAAGTAATAATAGATGTTCCATTTGCCTGTTTTTAAACATTTACAAAGTCATTTTTTGTATTGCAGGTTTTTTTTGTCAGCCTGAATTGAATAAAGGGCTACAGCAAGTAAAGTAAGTGAAAGGACTACTAAAAATTGCTACCAGATATAGCTTATCAGTCTACTTCTTGTATTAATATTTTTAATGGATTTTGAAGGTCATAAATGTATGAAATATATTTAATTTGGTTATCTGACAACTAATACATTTTAACTAATTGTTTTTGAAACTAATTAAAAATAAACTTCATTCATTTTATCTTTAATATGTAAGATGATGACTTATACTTGAGGGAATACATATTCACAACATTTTCTTTATCAGTAGAAATGGATGGCTAATATATTTGAATATTAATGAAAACTTTCAGGTCTCATAATAACTTCTACTGATAACTAATTCCCCAACTTTGGGAGAACTAAGTATAATTCTTTGCTTTTGTATGTTTTGTAGGGCATAGAAATTCTGACCCATAAGGTTTTGTGGGGACAGAGGTATTATTAACTAGAACATAGACTATATGAGAAAAGTGAGTATTAACACATTAACTACCTTTTAAGGAAATAAGGTTGGAGTAGATATGCTGTTCATCTAGTAGATGACAACTGAAAGTTAAAACCTGTCCTCCTTCTGCCTTATTTTTTCTAGGTAGTTTAATCATCTTGACACTGACTGAATAAAAACGATACCTACTTATTATGTTGAAATACATGTGTAAAAGATCAAAGAACAAATGGTCTTTTAGCCCTTGTCTCAAGGGTTTCAACATTTTTTAAAAATCCTGTCTCCAAATTTTAATCCAGTCAGGATCACAGTGTCTACTCACAACTTCCATTATCAATAAAACAAATGGTTTATTTAGGCTTGACATTAGGCTTGATAAAGATTTCAAGGTTCTTTTTGGTCTTAATGCATAAAGTATAGACTCTTCTTCATAGAAAAGTAATACAGTGGGTTGACCATCCTAATTAGCATATGGATTAACTCTTTGACAAGACAGGGTGATTAATTTCTTAGACCCTCTGTAGGGCATTTCAACATAGAATATAGTTAGCAGTCGAACAGTGAAATTGTAATATGAAGAACAAATTGGCTGTGAATTAAGATTTTGAAAACTTTCTAAATTAAATGTCATTAAGAAATATAAATTGAAGTGTTTTAAAAACAGTGGCATGTGCCAGTGGGGATCAAATCTGTGCCAAAATAAATTTTCATCAGTGCTAATATGATTCAATAGGTTACATGTGAGACTACAAATGACTGTAAACATGGATTACATTCAGTTGGGATACAGGGTTAAGAAACCTCCAATGATTGCTGGAAATGGTGATATTTGCTCCCAGATTTTTGCTGTGATTATTGTTCCAGCCCAGAGTTGACATCTCTCAAAGGCTATCTTTTCTAGTTTCCAAGAATGTGGGGAACTCTGCATGGGGCTACAGTGCAGGCCTGCACATCATCTTCACTGTCCTGCTTCTTCCTTGGTCATGCAACTTGGTGACTGATGTAAAGAAAACTCCCCTCTAATAATCCTGAGTCTCTGCCCTGTCCTCCACACCCCCAACTAAGTAGGTTATTTAAAAAGAAAAAGCCAATATAAGTACATCTTAGCAAAGTGGTTGCTTTTCTTCTAAGTGGTATGGGCATATTATTATAATCACCTCTTTTCTATGAAGCTTATTTTCCTGTATATGTGTGTGTGTGTGAACACAAAACTAATACAATCGTTAACATAAATAGCATGATTAGCACACCAGAGAGTAACAAGTACTACCAAGAAAAATAAGGCAGGAAGGGAATTATGGGGTTCTTGAGGAAGTGGCAAGCACTGTCATAGGAAGATCTCACTCTAATGGTGACTTGTGAGCAAAGATGAAAAGAAGGCAAATGAGTGAACCATCCAGACCTAGGTATTGGACACTTTCAAGGCTGGTGGATCACTGAATGTAAGGGCTTTAGGTTGGTAGGGCACCTGGCAATAGCTGAGGAACAGAAAAAGGCACAGTGTGGCTGATGCAAAGGGAATGAGTGTGAGGGACAAGGAAGTTGAGACTGAGACTGAAGATCAGGGTCTGCAGGTCCTGACAGACCATTCTAAGGACAGCCTGAGAAAAGCGGAGAGCCATCTGAGGATTGTGACTAGAGGAATGGTGTGACCTAGTATGTTGTTAAAGGCAGTCTTATTGTCTAGCCATAGTAAAGGCACCATCAAAAGAGTCCAGAGATAGAAATCTGTTAGGAGATGCCCCAAAGTTTGTACACACAACTACTGGAAGAGGAAAAGGTTTGAACCCTGGAGAAATGAAGTGTGGTGTTGGGAGGTGGGGGTTTCCGCTGGGAGATGCACCTGCCTGGCTTTCAGGCCACAACTGCAACTCTGGTCCTGTCACTCTAGCTTCAGATCCCCCTCGCAGAGCATCAGAGGTCTGGACCTGAGCACCGCGTTGCCATGGCGACCACAGTATTTCCTTTCCCGTCTCCAGCACTAGGCACTAGCTACCCCTCCCGGCTGGTGCACCCAGTCTGGCTCTGGGCGGCTCATCAATATTCCGCGGGCGACTTCTACCCGGCCCGCGCCGCGCCTCGAGGCGTCAGCGAATCCAGCAGCTACAGCCCCCAGGGTCCCCGCCACCCCACTGCCTCAAACTGCCTCCTCCCCCAAGGCTCTCAGCTCAACCTGCGCTGTAGCTTGCCTGGAGGCTTTCAGCACTGGAGGGGCTCTGTCTAGCTACGCAGCACTTTTCACATTCTGGCCACGGCCACAGGCTGCAGGCCCGCGACGGAGAGGGGGCGCCCTGCATCCAGCTCACAAGCAGCGCGCCTCGGGAGACCCACTCTAAGGCATCCCCGCAACTCTCTGGGGATATTCAACTTCCCTGTGTGCTGTATGATGTCCCCCGAGTCTCCTGCAATGCACCAGACCGGGAAGGCAGACATCGAAGGCACCTGCATTGCGCCCCCACTGGGACGCGCTGTGAGCAATAGAGGAAACGGTCTGCAGCAAAACTGGAAGATCCAAGGAGCGGGGAGCTAGGGGGTGGGTTCTCCTAGGGCTCACCTTGTGCAGTTTCCACATGGCCCCGAGAGCCTTGACTTCGTGGCTGGAGTGTTTGCCCTCTTCCAAGCACTGGTAGCACACGGGCATCTTGCACTGCACGCAGTACATGCTGTGGTTCTCTAGCTCATGGTCTGTGCAGGTGGAGACCTTTCGAGGGCTCAGTCGCCGACTCACGCGGCCCTGGGCCGGGGGTACCAGGCGGTGCTTGGCTAGCGGCCCCCGGGGCGGGTGGCAGCGCAGACGGCACGGATCGCAGTAGAAGACGTCGCACTGTTCGCACATGACGGTGGCCTCCTTGGGCACCTTCTCACAGAGCTGGCACTTGAGGGCCGCAGCTTTGCTCTGTTGGTAGCGGTCAATTACCCCTTCCAAGACGCGGTTCTTGGGGAAGCCGCGTAGACCCCGGTCATCTAGGATGAGGCTGCGGTGACACTGCGGGCAGGTGATACAGGAGTTGCGGGGCACCGGGGCCAGGGCCGGTGACAGGTGGGTGGGTGGTGGCGGCATAGCCGGGGGAAACACACGGACGCCGTTGGGGGACTTCTGACACGGGGTAGTCGGGGCGCTAGCGAAACCTCCGTAGGAGCCATAGCCGCTGTCCGCCTCGCTATATAGGCTCATCTTGTCCAGGTCCAGGTAGTCATAGTCGGAGACCCCAGAGCCGGAGGCCCGACGGCTCTGGGGGGACTCAGATTCCGGGGTCTGCACCAGGATGTTGCGGGCGCACGCCTGACATAGATTGTGAGAGCAGGGCAGGATGATGGGCTCCCGGTAGAAGGAGCCACACACGGGGCATTTTAACTCTTCTTCCATCTCTTCCATGGGGTCCTGGCTGGAAACGAGGCAGCAGCAGCTGCAGCAACGGGTTCCTCAGCTGGTGAGATGGCCGACGGGCCTGTCGTGTCCAGCACCTTGGCCAGCGGCGACAGCGGCGGCGACCGCGGTGGTGGTGGCGCCTTCCCGCGTCGCCTTGGCGCCGACTCCCTGCGATGCTCTAGCTCTGTGAGCCGCGGAGCCGCTGTGCCGCGCGCCAGCCCAGGACCGCCCCCAGCTGCCCTCCTAGTCCCGCCCCGCCTGTGAGTCAATGCTCATTGGACAGTGGGCGAGAGAGCAGGGCTATCATTGGCCAAATGCCCTGTCTATCTCCTCTCCTCCGCAGGCCACTGGGGGTTTGGTGGTGAACTGTGAGGGTGAGGGGAGTGTTCGCTCGCGGCTGCACGATCTCAGGAGGGGGCCGGAGTGCGGAGGCTAGGGACCGGGAAGGAGAAATTAGGCGGGATGACTCATCCCTCGCCCTGCTTCCTTCAGACCTCCGGTGCAGTCGCCCAGGAGCAGGGGGGCGTGAGAAACCCCTCCCGCCGCGAGTGAGCCTCTTGCTAAGAGGCGTTTGGCTTCCAGCTCAGATCCCGGCGCCGACCCACCAGGGGCAAGTGCTGCGCAGAGCGGAGGACACCCCTTTTTCCGCTGCTGGCAGCCTGAGTGGGCGCCTCTCCAAGCCTGGGTTTCCACGGGGCTTTTTGGCTTTAAGCCCGCTCCGAGAAGCCACAGAACCCCTCATTCCGGGAGCCTGGTGGCGCAGCTGTGAGCCAGGGCAGGAGTCTCCTAGCTTCTTTCTCCCTCAATCCCTAGTCTCCATAAGGAGAGGTTTAACTAGGTACCCAGTGTTCTTGGGGGAACATCAGCATCAGTTTAGATCTATGCCCGTCTTCATTTCTGGTTTTAAATTCTGTCTCTGCTGGAGGCCGCCGTGCTTTGATGTGAACGTGTCTCCATCGTTTGTCACCCTCCCTGCATCCCAAAGCCATGGCTTCATCTCGCTCAGCATCTGGCTTGAGCTTTCACAAGACCAGCAGGAACGTTGGTTCATTTGAGGCAGGAATAGTTTGTCTATTTCTGAGTGCCTGTGGTTTAGTAACTAGCTCTGTGAATGAATCACAGTGTGACAGAGGAGTCTGAATGTTTGACTCCAAACAATATTATTCAATGTCACATGCCATGAGCATCTACCACCGCTTCCAGCACGGGGTTTCTTTTTGTTCTGTAAGGTAATGGTGATAGTGACATGAGTGGGATGGAGTGGGTGGGGTGGGGACGAGAGAGTGATTCTAATGTTAGTTCTTAAATATTAAGCAGCCTTCTCTTTCTTCTCCCCAAACATTTCTGGAGATAATGGTTCCTGCCCCATGCCTGTAGAACTGTTGTTTTGGTGATTTAAAAGGCAAAAGAGAGAGCAAAAACATGAGACGGAGAGAAAAGAAAATCTTTGAATCAAATGACATTCCCAGGTAATAACTAACTTGAAATAGCATATGGGTGATTTTTGCTGAGTGACTCATGAAAGAAATGAAAAAGTTCTTTTCAGTTTCTAAGAAATCTTTCAAATTCCCACCTTCCAGAAAATATAACTTGATTATAATGCTGCTACATTTATAATTTAAAATCAATTCATTGTCTATAGCAGTTTTGTTTATATACATTACTTGGCTCACTCTCTGTAATAAGAAGAATTAGTTACAATTATCTCTATTTTACAGATTAATAAGCTGAAGATAAGAAGACACTTGAGGCCTGGCTCTGTGGCCCATGCCTATAATCAAAGCAACTTCTGAGGCTAAGTCAGGAGGATCCCAATTTCAAGGCCAGCCTCAGGAATTTAGCTTGACCCTGTGTCAAAAATAACAAAGGGCTAAAGATGTAAATCAGTGGTAAAGTGGCTCTGGTTTCAATCCCCAGTACAAAAAAAAAAAAAAAAAAAAAAAAGACACATGAGTTAGTAACTCAAGGCCAAATACTAGTAAGACTAAGACTGGTATATTTGAACCCAGCCAGGCATGTGAAAATTTGTTCCTTTGTTCATTCATTTGTCTAATAAATGCTGAATTTTACTTTGTGTTAGATGTTATGTTCTGTGTGATAAATACCCCAAATGGTGGATCATTGTTAACTAATATAATATTCTGCTTACCTTCTGTGAGAGTTTCTTTTTTTTTTTCTTGAGTTCATTTCTCTAAAATATATTTTCATAACCTTTAAAGAGTTTCCTCTCAGGTTACACTATTTGGCCATGGTGTTCTTTAAAACCTCCCAATGAATTATGTTTAAAGGGGAATAAAAATCTGAATGTAATTGATGATATTGCAGAAATATTATACCATTGGGGGAATATCTTCTTTCTTCCAGCTGGTGATTAGTCCATTCCCTGAAGCATGAGGATTGATAACCCTGTAATTTCATCAGTCCTGGGGTGACTGCAGATGTTCTCATTTGTGTAAAGTGCTGATTATCTTCTGAAACTTACTATTCACCCTAATGGTGTTCTTTAGCAGTTATTTGAACAGCTTTTCTATTTTTAAAAATATATGAATGTTTCCAATGAAAAATAGGGTTGATTTCCTGTTTGTTTTGACTACAATGCTTGATTATTAACACAATAGTCTCTTTGAGTCTAAAGAATGAATGTAGAGAAGAAAGGATTTTCTTTCTACATTTCCTCCTAGATCTATCTATGCTTAGTTGTAGAGGCTGTGGGGAAGGGTGGGGGGATCAGTGTAAGAAGATGGTCATATCCTCTGATACTTTTAATATTCTTTGACACACATATAAAAATATTTTGTATTGGTGGTTCAAGGCATTTGCCAAATTGGTTTCAAATTTTGTTTCATTTTTTTTCTTTAAATGAAATTCTGAGAAATCTACTTTTTATGAAAAAATTAATCCATTAGTATTTAATTTTATATTTGTAATGTTTTATACCATTTTTAATAACATTCATTTATTACTGATGTTCTTTGGTATTTTAAATCTCATGATTATTATGGTGAAATATGAGGTTTTTGCTGTTTAGTACTACTACTAGAAGATGATTTTTTTCAAATTCTATAGCATTGGTAATTGTAAGAAATGTATTATTGATGCTTTGGGATCAGTAGCTGGAGGATCTGAGAAAATGGAGATTTAAGGAATCCTATGCTAAACTAAGAAGTAGAGGATAATCCAGGAGACCTAATTTATGAGTCATGGGAATGAGGAAAAAGCACACATGGAGGCAAAAAGCCACCATTAAAAAAATAATATCCTTGAACTGAAGACATATGAGATTATAGAGTGAAAGGATTTTAGAATTATAGATGGCATTGACTTAAAAAGATTCAGGCATATATGAATATGATTCTTGAACTCTGATGAAAAAACAGAGTACATCTTACAAGCCCCTAATCAGACAAAAACAAGTTAATTATAAAAAAAAAAAAATAGAATCAGGATTTGACTTCTTTATGCAACCTGGAAGTCAAAAAGAATATGAAATAAATTCTAAGGTCTATTAAATGTAAAAGAAGGCACCCTATCTTAGTCCATTTGTACTGCTGTAATAGAATACCATGGACTGGCTAATTGATAATAAATAGAAATTTATTGCCTCACAGTTCTGAAGACTGGGAAGTCTAAGTTGAAGACACTAGCATCTGTACAGACCTGCTTGCTATATCATCTCATGGGGAAAAGGCAAAGAGAGAGGGCAAGAAGGGCCAGAATTTATCCATTTATATGAACTCTTGTCGGCCTTAATGGTATCAATCTATGAGGATAGTGGCCCCATGTTCCAAACACCTTTTAAAGGTTCTACCTCACAACTTCTCTATATTGAGAATCAAGTTTCCCAACACATGAACTTTGGGCAACACTTTCAAATCATAGCACATCCTAAGTATTTTATAGCCAACCAAGAGATCATTTGCTATTCAGGTAAAAGAAAGATATTTGCAACATAGCAATAACATATATGAGAAAAATATTAAAGAAATTTCATTTGAACCAAATGAAATGAATCTTAGCAGGGTCTCAAGATGGGTTAGGAATGAATGGGAAGTAAAAAATTCTAAGGACCTAGTATTGGGGAGAAAGAAGAAATGGGAAAGAAAAGATAAGAAATGTTTCAGTTGAAGGGATTGCTTGATATCTTCTTTTCCCACCTCACATAATAGTAAGTAAATACTTGTATCATTAGGCCTGTGAAAGGACATAAATACTAGGACTATGAAAAGCACAATAGAACTTGCAAATTAACAAACATTAGCAAGATATTGTGTGAAATTTTATAACAAAAAATTTTTAAAACTAGAAGAATGGATATGTCCCCGCAAAATGTAACTGAATTAACCCTTCAAAGTAGAAGACTGAATAATAAACTAAACTCTATAAAAGGGATTTGAAAGATCATTTGAGGTTTATTACTAAAAAGGACAGGATGTTTGAATAGATGAGTTCTGTGTAAAAACAAGCAATTTTGGCTTTATTGAAATAATTTAAAGAAAAACAGAATGTTCCCAAGTTCACTTTATAAAACCATCATGACTTTAATAACAAAAATATTATTATATATTTAATAGAGAACACAATAAGTAAAAAACTATGAATTAAAACTAAGTATTAGGGCATAGGGTTGTAGCTCAGTGGTAGTGTACTCACCGCCAGTGTGAGAGGCACTGGGTTCAATCCTCAGCACCACATAAATATAAAATAAAGATATTGTGTCCACCTAAAATTAAAAAACAAAGCAAAACAAAAAACTAAGTATTAGATGCCAAAATATTAAATAGTATATCAGCCAATTGATTTAAGCATTGAATTAAATGACCAATAACTATGACCAAGTAGGGATTTTCTCAGAAATGGTAGTATAGCTAGCTGTCAGGAAAACTATGAACATAATTTATTACAAAAAAATGCAAGAGACAGAATTCCCTCTTTTGGCGAAGTGTGAGTAATTTCCCATTCATAAATTACTATAAAGCAGGATTATCTATTGGAAACAGCTATAGGCAGACAAAGAGGTTGGTAGGCAAGCACTTTACCAACTCTGTCCTTAGAAATCATAGCTATGAGCCAATGTCTACCAGATGACCATTTCTAGATTTTGGTATACAGAAGAAGAACCCAAACAAAGCCCCAAATCTCCCTGAGTTGAAGAGACAGAGATTGAATTATGAGAAGACCAAAGAGGCAA